CTATATATATATATATATATATATATATATATATATATATATATATATATATATATATATATATATATATATATATATATATATATATATATATATAGGGGCTGGATCAGGTAAGAATGCACCTTGGTGAAAGAAATAAGAATAAAATTTAGCCTTTGGATCTGATGCATCGTGCGGCTCAGATTGCATGTTGCACTCAGATTTTGAGATAGTGCATTTTCAAAGGATTTTGGTGCATTTCGACATGATGCATTTTCAAATCATTTTGGTGCACCTAATTTTGATGCAATCCTGACCCTTAGATCTCACAATCTAAAGCACCAGATTCATTCTTATTTCTTTCATAAGATCGCATTCTCACTTAAACCTATATATATATATATATATACACACACACACACACACACACACACACACATACATACAAATGTAGCATATATTAACGTATTATATTAAGTAACGATTATTATACGGGTGGCAGTACTCACCTTGGGGGCTGTTTGGCAACTTCTGAATAGGTAAGTGCTGAACCAGTAAGAGGTCTGAATCATTAAGTGCTGAACCAGTAAGAGGTCTGAACCATTAAGAGCTAGTATATTGCTTAACTATTCAGAGGCAAATGTGTGATCAATTCAGATAAGAGATCTTAACCATTCAGACTCTGTATAATACTTAACCATTAAGAGGCAAATCTCTTAACCATTCAGACATCTGAACCATTAAGAGGCTGAAACAAACAGTCTGAACCATTAAGTGCTGAACCATTCAGACATCTGAACCATTAAGAGGCTGAAACAAACAGCCCCTTGGTGTTTGAATGAGTTGTTTGGACGAACGGTGATTTTCTTTTTTCCCCTCTTCCGGCGGGCTAGTGTCTTTCGTTTTTCTCTTCTTTTTTTCCCTAGTGCATGATGTTTATGTAGCTAATGCATGATGCTTATGTAGCTTATGCCTTATTGGTCATAATATCTGAGTATGAGCTATGGTTGAGGAATAGGCCACCTAGTAAATTTATAATAGCTTATGTTTTCGTTTATCTTTCTATCATATGCTCTTCAATTTAAGCTTTATATTTACTCATTTTATATTCACTGCTAATCAAAATCTTGGTAAGAATCATATGTTGTCAAATAGTTTTTTTCTTTCCTATAGTTTTTTATATAACTTACTTGGTAAGAGTTGTAACAATGTCACCCCTACTTCACAATTCTTTTAGTTTTTAGATTTGTCACCACTAAAAATCCACTAGTCTATTGATTGTTTTACTTCCTAATTTTTATATAGGAAGCATATTTTTTAATACTACTCATCTAGTCATATTCCTCATGTCATTAAAAAAGTACCTAATGTTGCATCTTATATACCCCGGAGTACTATCTATTGGTTTACTCTTAAAATAAATATTTTTTAGAATAATTTAATATTTTGAAAATCGCAAATAACAATAAAAAACTGAATCTTAATAAACTATACTGAATAACTAATAGTTTCCATTTTTATTGAGAAAAATTGAACTGAATCGAACCGCGAATTCACCTTCCGTTCCATCTTTGGTTTTGGATAAAAATCAAATCGATAAAACCGAACCCTCCCCTAGTACAATCTTTTTTGTTTTTTACTGCACGCAGGTATTTAGTTAGTGCATTCCAAGAGGGCAGCGAAATGAAAGGAGATGTCCCGATGTAGACCAACTTAAAATGTGTTATCGTTTAACTAATTTAATGACATAGTATGTTTTCCTCTTCCGTCCCAACTTAAATTGTCTATTTACTATTCTTAGGGTCAAACTTCATTCACTTTCTTTCTCTATTTTCATTAGTCATTTGATAAAATAGTATATGCATGTCACTACTAATTTTGTAGATCTTTTGATGTGATTTTTAAATATGTGCTTTTTATTTTTTAATTCTACACCATTTTTCATATAACATGATTTGAAAATAACTTCAGTCAAACATCGTAAACCGAAATAGGCGATTTAAATTGGGATGAACGAAGTATTAAACTTCCGCACCATTTTGGATTGACTCTGATAAATAACTGAATTGTTTAGAAATGTGGGATCATTTTTGAAACGTTTTTAAATTATTTGGCTTGTGTATACGAATTTAGTTGCAACTCAGTTTGATATTCGATTTATTCGAGTTGTGTGGGTTAAGGTGTTACAGGTCATAAATATTATGACCTGTCACTTTCTTGGTGGACACATGATTAGGCAAATAATCTCGATTGATATTAAGAACAAGATCCCACTCGATATATTGTTCCAAAGGGCGAAATCGCTCACCCCAAATGCCCCTCGCCCCACTCAATATATGATCGGTCATTTTATACATTACCACTCTCTTTCTCTATGGTGTCTTTGATTGAATCACACGTTCCTTTATTTTGACCAATTTCATCGGTTGGTCGCCTTATCGGTTATACTCCCTCCGTCCCATGAAACATGAGACTTTTGCTTTTTAGGAGGGATTTAAGGGGAGTGTATTTTGGTATTGAATTTCCAAAAATGTCCTTTGATGTGATGGGTAAAAGTATGATTTGATGGATAGATTATTAGTAAAAAGGTATGATGTGATAGTTAGGGTATGAAAAAGTAAAGGGTAAAAGTGACTTTTTAATAGAAATGAGAAGTGTCCTTTAATATGTTTTGGTAAAAAATTAACAACAATGCTATGGGTAGACCAAAGAGTGTATCTCAAATTATACTTCAAAGGGATGCACCAGCATTTTAATGATTCATACTTGCACAAAATGTTCAATTAAAAAAATTTACATTGATATTTTGTACTTCCTCCATCCCAATGTATTTGTCCAGTTTGACTTTTTCGAGTCAAACTGGACAAATTGTGAACTCCAATTACTCTCAATTTATATTGCATATTAGCATAATGACCTACAATTTTGAAAGTTCTCAATACGATAAATCCAATAAAGTCATTTTTATGTTAAAATAAATTACAGTTTTTATTTAATTAAAGCTCAAAGTTTGTCCAGTTTGACTCGAAAAAGTCAAATTGGTCAAATACACTCGGACGGAGCGAGGGAGTATCTTTGAGCATCACACTAGTACAAAATATTAGTGAATGCTTTCGAGATATAAAGTGGAGTACAATTTTTGATGTATAAATATTATTTTCCAAAAATTAAATGTCTAAAATGAATAGTATGACTTTGTAAATGTACATATATCAAATACATGTTCTTGTATAGCAGGATGAAAAATATGTAAATATCATGCGTACATACATGTATTTTTTTAAGGAAAATGCTAGAATCACAAACATGTAGTTCACAAACTTCACAAACTTGCCTTTTGTCGATTTTAAATTAAAATATCTTTTATCATTTGAGTGCATCTTATTTCTAGGAAAGTGTTAAAAAGGTATGTTTGTGAATTTTGTGAACTATTTGTTTGTGACTCTTGCATTACTCATTTTTTAATATGAATGATTTGTTGTGAACTAAGTTCTTTATTCATCATATGTTGGGGTATTTATACATACACGGGGAGAAGGTAAAGTCTAGGTAAACAAGGTAACCAGATATTCTAAATAATAAGAGTAATATATCTGCCATATTTAACACTCCCCCTCAGATATATCATCGTTCATTATACACTAACAACATTATGCTACAGGGTAATGCTGACTAGGTTCTTCAGGACCTATATTAACTGATACTGCAGGATCAGTTATGTTGCCTCATTAAAAACCTTACTAAGAAAACCCAGTGGGACAAAACTTAGTTAAGGGTAAAAGAGTACAACGCGTATAATGTTTTCCCTCAAAATAAAAATATATTCCCCCTCAAACTAATTTATCTCTTTTAGCCTGCGAAGTCCAATCTTCTTTATGAGTTGCTCAAAACTGTGTCTAGGAAAAGATTTGGTGAATAAGTCCGCCAAATTTTGTTTGATTTAACTTGAAAAACATCAATCTCTTCTTCTTTCTGCAGATCAGATGTTGAGAAAAACTTTACTGAGATTCGCTTCGTTATGTCTCCCTTGATGTAGCCTTCCTTGATTTGAGCTATGCATGTTGTGTTATCTTTATATATAATCGTAGCATTCTTCTTGATTTCTTTCAAACTGCATGCTCCTTATATGAGATTAATCATCAATCTCTACCATGCTCGCTCTCGATCACTGTCGTATAATGCTATCAGTTCGTCTTGATTCTATGTTGTTGTTCGGGCTCGCTCAGTCAACTTCCAAGAAAAAGTCGTATCACCATATGTGAACACACTACCTGTCAAATTTCACACTTAAAATTTGGTACTGCAGGACCAAGTACTTCTTCGCCCTCTTTTGAGAGGCGATTAGAATGTTGTGTGTGTGTGTGTGTGTGTGTGTGTGAACATACATGGGTATGTTCAAAGGATGAGCTTTATCCATATTTCAACGTGTTAACATCTTCTAGATGTAGTTTAACTTATGGACAAATGTGCCGTCATATAGGTGTTTAAAATACAATCCTAAGTATAATTTATGTCATTTCAAGATCTTCCATCTCAAATTCTTTCTTCAACAGTTCAATAGTTTTTTATCTCTTCAGGAGATCTAATGATATTTATACATCGACGTAAAGTGCTATAATAAAGAATATTGAGAGCGATCCTTGAATTACAACACATAGGTTGATTTCAAATTTGTATCTTTCTTTCTCGATGTATTAATTATATTGCTTCTGAAATTTTGAATCCTTCAGGGATTATTATTACACAGATGTCAATTTCAAATGTCCCTTATAATTATGTTATAACGACATCTATATCATTTATTTGAAGTCCTTTTGAGATGGCGAGGCCAATTAAAATTCTAAAAGGATACTGCATCCACTAGTGGAGAATACGTTTCCTCATAATCAACTCCTGTGATTTGGGAAAACCCTTGCCTTACAAGTAATACTTCATATTGCACAATCTCATTCATTTTATTTCTATTTATTACAGACACCCAT